TCATTTCAGCACAGATGTATATCAGAAATACTGAGATAATGACCCTACTGGTGCTTCCTCACTGACCAATGTCCATTAGGACCAGACTGTGAATGCAGCTCACTAATGTATCATCTACATTAATGTGCTGCTGTATCTATGGTGTATTATAAGGAGAATATAACACTGCCCTGGCCAGGCTAGGAAAATCCCCAGCTGTGTAAGACACGAAAATGTTTTCAATTTTAATTCATATTGATTCTTTCATTATTGAATCAATTTGAAAAACATATGAAGGTTTATTTATTCATGATTTGTAATGAATAATGTTTTATTAACATTTACATGAGTTTATTTACAAATTACAAATTTCTTCATAAACACATTTTTACCTATATGAGATCAGTTTAGTTCTGTATATGTTTACATATGATTTTTTACTTGATCAATTGGATGGTGTTTTGCTTTAATTTTAATTCACATCAGTTTATTATTAAACTGTTTTGATACATACACATTAATTTATTTATTCATATTTTAAATATTCCATTTTAGTCGACATTTTCACCAGTTACTGATTATATTCTTAATATAATTATTTTGTTTGACATTAAAGTTTTCTCTTTCATATATTTACTTATTTGTTCATTTAAATGACATTTCACATCAGCTAAAAGTTACTGTAACCATTTCAGTTATATAAGTTTCAACATTATCTGGACAATAATTACATTCCATGCCACGTATACTCATCTTTCCTTCCCCTCATTTCTCTAATATATGACTTTAGAGATTGGATTATACATCAGTTCTCTCCTCAGAATTCTGAGAGGCTGAAATCTAAATGGTTTTTCCAGGTCTAGAATTTATTTCATTGACAAAATCCTCCTCACATTGCATTTAGAACTGCAGTAGATTGCATGTCCGGCCAGCAAGTCAGATCTACAGCTCATCAGTTTGAAGGAGCAGTACTTCAATATAAATGTACCTGACCTGAACAACATCTCAATCATTTATCTTTACTTAACATCTTCACTTTGAAACTTCTTCCATTTCCTGATACTTATCTCTCCTACAGAGCTTCAATATTTATTTTGTGAATATTTCAATTCATTTACCTCCCTCTTTCGATTTTACTTTGAAAAGCCTTCAATTTTCTAATACTTATCCCTAACAAAACTTCAATGTTTATTTGTGTACATTTCAATCCATATATCATTAACTAACTTTGACATTGCTCCAAATTTCTAATACTTATCCAACAAAACTTCAATGTTTATTTTGTGTACATTTCAATTCATTTACCTTTAATTTACTTTAAAATGCCCTTCAGTTTCTAATACTTATCCAGCAAAATATTAATGTTTATATGGTGTACCTTTCAAATCATTTACCTTTACTTTACTTTGAAATGCCCTCTATTTCTTATACTTATCTCTTTAACAAAACTTATGTGCCTATTAAGTGTACATTCCAACCCATATATCATTCCTTACTTTGACATTACTTCTATTATCCATTCTTATCTCCTTAACAAAGTCTCAGTGTTTTGATATATTAAACTAAACAAATTTAATTGGCCATGAATAATTTCCACCAGGTAGTGACTATTTACAGTGTAAAGAGATGATGTAAATATCAATTTCATTGAAATTCTTGTCACATAATATGGCTTACAAATGCCATTTATCAGCCGCCTCCTTTCTCCTGTCCTATTTAGTGGAAGTTTGCAGAACCAAACAGAAACTGAGCATCTATACTTCAGCAAGGGATTAGTGAAGGCCATGTTGGTGCAAATTTCCAAATGTCCAATTGTCATACATGTTTGCTAGACATCTGTGTGTCAATATGTGACATGACTATCTTCCTGTAAAATACATAGTCATGACGAGTGACACATTAGCAATTCACTGAAAAAGGTCACGGAATGAAGTAAAGGGGCAGGGTTTTACATTTACAAGATGAAATGGCCTCCGAAAAACCTTTGTTTCTTCAGAAATGGGCTTGGAACGAGCTGAGCTTCAGAATTTTGATGCATCGTTAATTGAGTAAACACAATGTACTAATTTCTAACACACGGGGTACTTAGCAGTCTGTTCTGTGTCGCTGATTGGAATGTGAGAAACATCCATCCTGGTACCCGCAAAGCCAAATCTTTTCATCACTCGTGTCCCGCGTCGCATTTGATATTTTGTAGTATTTGTTCTAGAGGTGTAGTTGAAAAATACATTTACACATGGTATTCATTCGGCATAGCCTCAGTCTAAACTGGGGAGGTGGTATTTTGCTGTAAATTGTTTGAAAATGAGAACGGACATATTAAGCAAGCTCTTGTCACTTGGCTAGCCTCTTTTTCATTTTGATTATGGAGGAGTTTGTTCACTCACCAATTCCATGTACTTTTTTTCACATGGAGTACCTCATTACGATCTTAGCCTTTTTTCAGGCCGTGTGTCGCACAACCTATGGTATACAAGATTTGTGAATCTTGGTCAGGTTTTCGCGCGCTGTGTTCCAGGTGTTGACTTAGTGGTTTTGCATTGAGCGTATTCTGATGTGTTTGAAGGCCTCATTTTGAAAAGAACTCCTGCTTTCACCTGGCCATGTTTATGAATAGGTGTATCAATGCACGCTTTACTCAAAGTGCCCGGAGGTGGTCCTGTGCTTGCCGGCTGAGGATAATTGGTGATATACTTTCCGGCAAAATTTGCACACATTTTCGACACCTCTTTAAGTATGAAAATCAAACTCCATAGGACAAAAGTGATCTCCCTGAAATCCGCCCACCCATTTTGTCGAGGTGTCAAAAAGGTTGCACGCCTAATAAGCTAAACTTTGGCAGGCTGACAGGACCCCAAATCACTGCATACATGAAGGTGAGATTTGTTTGCATTTACGATGTGACTAAACATTGTTAAAAACATCCTCTCTCTACATGAACAAACTCCTGTTCTCCACCCTTATTCCACATATTCCCATTAGGATCAGAATTTTTTGTCAAACCACATCCTCGACAACCCCAGAGGCAAACAGCTTTGCTAGCGAAAGATCACCATCTTTTCATATCAAGCCAAACAGATACACCTGGTCAAGTTTCCCAAACATCTTTGTTTTTGTTTCATTCTTGCATCAAATGTCAGACATTAAAACCAATTAGCTTTTAACACTAATCTCAAAATTTAAATTCATCATAATAGACTAATTTAAAACCAATACAAGACTTTTAGATGAGTTATTAACTGTTACAAGATTTCATATTTTTATTCTTTGTTCACAGGATAAATGTAGATTGGTTTGTTTGGGAAGTATAGGAATTCTTTCACATATCCATGGACAAGAATTCCATTAATAATCTTTATCAGCTAACCACAAGAAGATTAAAAGATTTACAGTAAATGGTAGCTTAAATGGAGACCCATGTACACTAACCAAATTCCATTCAGATTATAAGTTCCTATTCCACACATGTATTTTACCTGTTTTAAAGGAATATTATTTCCAAAATATTAAGATTATCTGTATGTTCAGCTTTGTTTCTTATCCTTGGAAAATGAAACAATATGTTACATTGGTAAATTAGTCCAGATAGTGGTTTGCAATGTTTGGATTTTTCAATTCATGCAGTTCAATTTGATATATTCAAAAATTCACTAACAAGGAAATTTCTCAAAAATGTCTCGCTTTGTTCTGGATGAGACTAAGTTGAAACAGTTCCTGATTTGAAGTTACACGTTGATGGAATGCAACTGTGTAAAGAGTGATATTAGTTTATTTTTCACTTTTCTGTCATTATATCAGGGGTCTATATTCAGCAAGCTCTTACATTTCGATCACCAAAATTCAAACAAATAACAATAATAATAGACTTCTAAGGACTAGTTTAACAAAGTACAATTATGTACATTTGGAAATTTCCAAATTTCAGATAATTCTATACCACTGTATTGCAGAATGTTTTGGAATATACTTCAGTTTAGGATTCAGGACAGTACAACTAACAGCTTTAACATTAACTGAGACAAACACAAGTTAATACATTCATGAGCAGTCCCATATATTAGGTTATATGACAATACATATCTTGAATTACATTGGTGTCAACTATCTTGGAGATAAATGAACCAATATAGGTTAATATCTATTCAGAAACAAATACATGTCATTGGTTAAAAAACCTGATTCTTTTGATCAAAGTGTTTTGATCCATTTGTATATTTTAAAACACCCATCATACCAATCCTGAAATAGATTTGAAAATTCTACATCAACATATTGAAATGATTCAAAGAATATACAAAACTATCAAAATTCTTCCAATGTTGAAAGCTGCAGGAGGCTCTCCATATAATGAGGAGGTATTCCTGTTCCAACACATTGTTTGTTTGCCAGGGTTAGACAGTGACGTATTAGTGACATTAATATCTACCTAGTGTCCGATATACAGGTGAGTAGAGACAGAAGCTGATACACAATATTACCCAGCATGCATTTCTACTTCTACACAATAGATCCAACATCAAGCTAGTCCTCAACCAGAAGCCAAACAAGGATCCACACTCACAAAATATATGGTGATCATAAATTTGATTTTCGTGCACCTATATATAAATGAATCTCATTTCTGCTACATAGTTATACAATAAAATCGGTAAGTTGGCTAAAAACTTATCGTTAAAATCATAACTAGAAAGAAAGATAGTAGAATAATTTCACAATGATAATTCAAAAATTAATATGACAGTTTGAAATATGGTTTATTAATTGAAATGTAAAAAAATAAATTAGACAAAATTTCAAAATAGGAAAAAATATAGGACATTAACAAAAATAGTTCCATGTCGGATGGTATGACAATGAATAATGTAAGACATGAAATGATATTTATAGACAAAGAGGATGTTAATGGGTGCAAGAAGATTTTCTAAGTGTAAGTATGTGAGTGTGCATTCCTCCCTGCCCATCACCAGTAGAGACTATAGTGTATTACTGTGACAGAACCACTACACAGAACAACAACCTACCCGTGTGAGACCGAACGTGTATCTGCAGAGCGCTGTCGCTGCCAAACACTTTGTGACAGAAGCGGCATTTGTGCTTAAAGAAAGGGTCGTCGCTTGCATACTGGGATCGTTCAAGCACTGAAAAATTTAGAAAAAAAAATTTAGTGATCGAGTCCGCAGACTCCGGAAGTTTCAGAATGAATTTCTTCCTGACAGAAAAATTTCCGTTTTCAAGACATCGAAAAATTCTGTAATCAAAAACTAAGTTAAATCTTTCAGTGTTTGGACTTCTGTGAAGTTCCATGGGGACCCTTAAGAATCGGCACATCCAATGAACAGCCTATTTTGGATTCACACTACGACATAACATGAATGAACCCTTTCTGCTGTGCCAGAAGTGTAATATCTGCATTGTCAAAAGGGCAATATCACTGCTGTAAGCCATATCTGCAAAAAGAACCTTTTTCTTGAAATTCCATGAATGTATAAAGGGGTCTGCCGCTGTAGGTGGCCTCTGAGACAATTATGGTTCAAAAATTTGGTGTCAGCGGTATAATACATATATATGTGAAGTTGATGCCAACCGAGATCTTGTTCCTGAGGGACAACTACCTCCACTTATGTGAAAATCATAAGCAACACATTAATCTAATTGGATCTTGTACAGGAATCTCAACAGCAGACATATACGTGTCTGAACAGATAGAAAAGTAACAACAATCTGAAGCTGAGCAGACAGAAAACTGGGAGAAAATGACTTCAAAGAGGTAATGATGGCCCAAAAACAATACACAAGATCATAACCAATTCCTGGTCCTCATTCCATATGCACATCACAGTCTGCAAGAGAAAAGCAGATCAGATCCTGGAAATTTCAGGGATCATGAAACAAGCTTACTGGTAATGTAGAGGGTCTGCTCGAGCGGTAATCATAAGCGTGATGTTTGGTCGTGTATGATTCTCTTCGTTGGTGGGATTGCCCCCCTGCCATGCCGTTCTGACAGACAGAGACAGCTGCATAGGATCCCCCCAACAAGCACCTCCTAAGGAAATTTGATGAAAGTTAGTTTTTTCACTAGGCATAGGATAGCCTGTTTCAACACCCTGCGAGATCGTACACATATTTCCCCTCCACAGATGGTCTCTACCAGGCTAAAATATGGAAGGCTATTACTTTGGCAATCTGGGTTCATCGCTTTAAATGCTTGTGTCAGAACAACATTAATTTCGAAGAATTAAAACCAAATTACCACAGACTAAAGAAATGGGGCTTCCCATGGCATCTGTGTTTTATTTCCAGAAATAAAATGCTTCATATGTCAATGTCTAGCTTGAAATATGGCCTATGTTTAGCAAAGGGCTATAACTCTGTCATATTTGTATGATAGGAAGGGGGATCTGTATGGCATGCCTACAGGAAAGATACCGGCAAATGACTGTGGGTGGCGAAATGACTCAAAACATATTTGGTGGCAAGGTTTAGTATATTTCCCCGATTAACCGGATCGTATATGAGAGCTCTAATTGGAGGCAGCAGGGGACGGCAATTGTCTTGAGCCCATCGACAGATAAGGGTAATCTCCCTTGGTGGGAACTCTTCATTTATCAGACCTCTCTTTAATTTCGTTTGTGATACACAAGCCCCACTGCTGTTCATCACATTGGGCTGTGTTTGAAAACTGATAAACATGTGATCGAATTTCAGGAAATGAAAGTCCAGGAAACAAAAGATGGTGGTAGTAAGTTGATCTGTATTCTGGACTATTCATCATAGATTAGACACAACCCAGGGGATCCAAAACCTCAAATCTTCAAAATCTTATTTATTTTTCTATTCCACCAATAATTACAACCAGGGACCTCAACCAGATTGAACTTATCAGACACAACCTCCAAACCAAACGGAATTGAAACGAAAAAGAAATTTCAAATTTCATACTGGACTATTTCATAAAAAATATTGGTTATGTTCATATTCGATTATTCAGATTCCATCCAGACAAGTCATTAATTGTCATCAACTGTCACTGACTCATCTTCAATATTAACTTTATTCACCGTTGTATGAACTGGGAGACTCTATGGCAGATATGCAAACTATCAACTTTGGTTTTCCTATTTAATTTGATCAGACAAAGGGAGCATCACTGTTGACTAAAATGTGGTAATATTGCCAATACAAACAATATCGGAATCGTCAGATGAGGCCAATTTGCCAATCATGAAGTCTGCGGGACAGTGACCACCATTATAATCCGGTGTCGGGGCCTCACACAATTCAATTGATTGGAAAACGGAAAAACAGCGAGCACATGATGACATCATTAGCCCCCTTTACCCATAATTCCCTGTGCTGTGACCCCTCGCTTTTTCACGAGACAATGATCTCTCGCAGACTTGCCAACAATACAGTTAATGGAGGTGTTGATTATGAGATGAAAATATCAGCTAGGATGCGGCAATATTGCATAGCGATGATCCCCACATCAATAACTTAATCATACCTTGTCTATTCACCTCATGGAGTGTGCATCTGCAAGCCAAATGCTTTGATTTCATTGAAAAGTCAACCAATATCTGAAGTTATTCTCCCTAATCCCCTACTTCTGATGCAGAAGGGTGTTGGAGGTTGTAGCAGCTATGTATGATTTGGCTTCACCCCATTATCACAATAAAGTGGCAGAATCACCGCACGAAAAAAGGCTCAAACGACAATCAGGATTCTGTCAGCCATCTTTTCCACATCAGAAGGATGCTTTCAATTCGTACCGAAACCATCAAATCTCTCAAATGCTTACCATTTTTTTCAAACATTCATTTTCATCGGTTTCATGATCCCTTAATTATTAAACAAAAATTGATTTTATGCTGTCATACAGAATTTTCGAGTCGCTAAGCTAAAAAAATTCAAAAGAAACATTGTCAATCTGATCACGACAGCTGATTTTATCAAAAAGATAATCCTGACAAAGCATAATTTCCAATATTACTTTATAAATATTTAATAAATGTGAGAATGCCATGATAACGACAAGACAAGATGGGACCTCCAAGCTCGCCCTGAGAAATAATACAAGCTCTTGTCCTCTAATCACTGGATATGAGATAATTTCAATTACCCTGGGGGTGCAGTTTTGATCATAACTTCCACAACATCTGCCAACAATTAAAGACAGCGGTGATTGCCTGGAATATATATCAAGAGAACAGCCCTGATTGTTTTTGTGTTGGGAGGTCACTGACAGGTTGAGTCATGGGGGCCAGATGTAAACTGCCACAATTATATCTGTCCAGCTGATTTCCATATGGTCATTGCCAATCAAAGGAGGTGGCTGGTCAGTGTAGAAGATGGACTGCCTGAAATTGGGCCCATGGGATTGATATGATAAGTATAGGTTTCTAATTGGAGGAAGTATTACACAAAATCTGGACTTTTCCGTGTGGGAGGTCAAAGGTTACGTTTATGTGTTCTTCCTTAAGTTGTGTCCCTGTCACGGGAGAAGTAGACATGCTTACCTGATTATTTTTGCTGACTTTTTAAAAAGATCTGAAACTTTTTCTCAGTTTAAAACCAATTTTACGGTCATGTTTATTTTCCTTTGATGTTTGTTTGCATATGAGGAAATAATTTATGAGAAACTTTATTACTTAACAAGACACCTCTGACTTAATTCTTACAAGAATTTTATCTCAAGTTTCCAACTCAGATTATCACTAAGTTCAGAAATTTGAAATAGATAAATAGTTTAAAGGAAAATACAATTTCAACAGCCAATAATTCTGACAGGGTTCAAGTCACTATAACAGATATAACAGTCAAATGACAAAGTACAAGAAGAGACAAATTTAATTATGAAACTAAAAGTGAAATTTCAAAAGTAGTTTTAAAAAAACCACTTGAACAAAGCTCAAGAAAAGACAAATTTTTATAATTTAACAAACAGAAATTTACAAGTTGGTTGTTTTGAAATATTTCTTTGTAATATAACTTAAATTGCAGCGTCCAACACAACAACTGTCCCTGACATGAGTAAATAACTTTGCCCTTAAGTTTGTTTAAAGACCACAATTAGCAAATATCGACAGCACCTCTCCTCCCCCTCCTTGGAGGCCGACAGTAGAGATGCTGGAAAAAAACTGGGGCTTCCTGACAAGACATTTTGACAATTTCAATTTAGAACAAAAACTGCAAACCTTTACTATTAATTACAAGCCAAAATAACCTTGGGAAAGCTACAAGGCTTTTTAGCTCTACCGTTGTTGCACAGATGAACATTTCCTCTGAGCTTAATTGGGATTAAACAGCCAATCAGTGGGGCAATTTCTCACAAGTTGAAGACAAGTAGGCAAAGTGATACCTGTCAAAATGACGCCCAGTTTAGAACTGTCAAAAAGAGATAATTCGGGGAAATGAATCTCCCTTCCTCGATTCACTGGAAACACCTGGTCAGAGAAAAAATACCTCAAATATTTGTGCTCCCCTTGTGAAAATTGGCTATCTGTAGACTCAAGACAGTAAGTAAATTGTTTGGCAGCAAATAAAAACAGTATAATACAAATATGTAAACATTATAGTCCTTAAATTTCAATAAATTTGCCAAACAATTTGAGAAATGTTGGGACTTATCCCAACATCAAACTTTCTATTTATTTGCCACTGAACTAATGGAAGCAAAACTAGTACTTTTATCAAAATAAAACAAAACATTTTTTTAAAAGTATCACTAAACTTCAGAAATGATGTTTAAAATCTTGTTAATTAGTGAGGCTGAATTTGCAGTCAAGAAATCAAAATGGCCGCCTGGTCACCAGCTCCTGGGTGGTCGTGTCCAGGAGATAGTAGAGAGGCTAACCGTTTGCCCACAGATTTGGAATTTCCTCTAACACCTGCACATGAGAGAATACATCAACATGGCACATTTTTCTAGTATCTATATCAGTTATTATTTCTAGACTCGGTGAACACGTGTCCCCAGTTGGCCTCAGCTTTGTCTCGCTGGAGAGAGGCCCTCTGCCATATGATTTCAGCATGCTAAATATTAGAGCAGGACATTTTTCACATTTCCCCTCACATGAAAACACCTTGGTAAACAAATTCCTGGAAGGAAGGAACATTTTTCTTTGCTACTTCATGATCA